TTTCGTAAAATGGTATATGGTTGTGACGTTGGGAAACTCAAAATTAAGTCACAGAATTATTTTGGCACTAAAGGGGGGAACAGAGCAAACAGCTCGATATCGGATTCCTTCGGATTCAATATTATGCCTCGTTAAATAGCGCTCGAACTGAGTAAACCACAACTCAGAGTCCTCAAGATCAAATTTTATGGGAAGGGCTTCCTTAGTCGCCACATTGTCTCTTTACCAGTGACAAATAATGCTCAACTTCCTGGTTTTCCCTCTGTATAGAGTCTGACATGTTGTATAGATATGTGTAATAATCACATATACAAATTAAAATATAGTCCCGACTCGGATACTGTGTGATAAAAACGTGCATACGAAATTTGTACTAGAATTTACTTACTTAAGCCTGTTACTCCAAATGGAGCATAGGCCGCCGAACAGCATTCTCCAACCCACTCTGTCCTGGGACTTTTTTTGTAGTTCAATCCAATTTTGTTCATTTTTCTCATATCTATATCCATTTCTCGGCATAATGTGTTCTTCAGTCTTCCCCTCCTTTTTTGACCTTGAGGATTACAAGTGAGGGCTTGTCTTGTGACGCAGTTGGGTGCTTTCCTCAATGTGTATCCTGTCCACTTCCAGCGTTTCTTCCTGATTTCTTCCTCTGCTGGGATCTGGTTTGCTCTTTCCCACAGTAGGTTGTTGCTCATGTCGTCTGGCCAAGGGATCCGAAGTATTTTGCGTAGACAACCGTTAATAAACACTTGTATCCTCGGAATGATGGCTTTCGTAGTTCTCCAGGTTTCCGCCTCATACAGTAGAACTGCCTTGACATTTGTATCCGAAATTCTGACTTGGGTGTTGGTTGACAGCTGCTTTGAGTTCAGATGTTCTTCAGTTGTAAATATGCTGCTCTTGCTTTGCCGATCCGCGCTTTCACATCTGCATTAAATCCACTATGTTCATCAATGATGCTGCCCAGATATGTAAAGGTTTTTACATCTTCCAAATCTCCGTCAAGTGTGATTTGATTGATGCATGTTGAGTTGTATCGGGGAATCGTGCTTTTCTCTTTGTGTATATTGAGACCTACTGCTGTTGAGGCTGCTGCCACACTGTTCGTCTTTTCCTGCATTTGTTGTTGCGTTCGCGATGGAAGGGCCAGATCATCTGCGAAGTCTAGTTCATCTAACTGCATCCTACATGTCCACTGTATCCCGTGCTTCCCTTCAGATGGTGACGTCTTCATGATCCAGTCCATCACCAGGAGAAAAAGAAAGGGTGAGAGTAGGAAACTTTGCCTAACACCGTATTTTACGTCGAACGAGTCTGTCAGCTCTCTTTCATGCACGATTTTGCAGTTTAATCCATCATAGGAATTCTGTGTGATATTGACTATCTTCTGAGGCACTCCGTGGTGTTGAAGAAGCTTCCATACTGTTGTTCTATCAAATGCTTTCTCGTAGTCAATAAATTTGATGTAGAGTGATGAGTTCCATTCAGTTGATTGCTCCATAATGATCCGTAGAGTTGCGATTTGATCTGTACACGATCTATCCTTACGGAATTCTGTCTGTCGGTCTCGAAGTTGGGCGTCTACAGAGTCCTTCATTCTGTTTAACAATACCCTGTTGAAGACTTTTCCCGGTATTGAGAGAAGAGTGATGCCCCTGTAGTTATCACAGTTGCTGAGATCTTTCTTTGGTATTTTGACCAGAAGTTTTTCTTTCCAGTCTGTTGGTACTTGTTCCTCATCCCAAATCTGATTGAAGAGAATGTGGAGTATCTTTGCAGTTACCGCTAGGTCTGCTTTCAGTTCCTCTTTGATCCTCAGCGTCTTCATTGTAGTCGTTGGTAGGCGCATAGCATTGGATGACGTTCATTGAAATGTCCTCTTTCTTTGTTTTGAAGGAGGCTTTGATGATTTTTGGTCCACGAGATTCCCATCCTATAAGTGCATTTTGTGCTTGTTTGGACAGCATCAATGCAACTCCTTGTGTACGTGGAGCATTTTCTTCATCATGACCGGAGTCTAACAGAAGCTCCCCTGAAGCTAGTAGTTGTTGTCCAACTGTCGTTCAATGTGTTTCACTGATTGTTACGTCCAAGTTTTGCTCGTTCTAGTTATTGAAGTACGGACTATCGATCTACTTGCAAATTACGAACCCAAATTAACAACAGGACCAAGCTCCAATCTATATGCCAAATTTATTCGTAATCCACAAATAATCGACCAAATGTCGTTCTAACAACAATAATTATAACAATTACAAAACGAACCTTCAATTTTGTAGGTTCCCGGAGCAGAACTCCCAAATACCAAACCAAAAAGATAAAGGGAGCACCAAAATACCAAACCAAGGACAAACCAAAATGTCCGAAATAATGATATACACAGACAAGTTCAAAAGTTAAATAAAACAATTACATCCAAAAACACAGTAAATCATTAATGTACAATAAAAGGTTTTAATCCGCCAAATGTCTTCAGTTCTCCCGTAACACTGACCACAAGCACCTCTAGCTTGTATTTCCTCATTTCTGCAGCAATTTGGAAGACTCAGTCTCCCACATTGTACGAGCATTCCATGAACCTAAATAAGTGGTTGCTCTGGTTGTCAGAATGAGCATTGGCCTCGTGACTTCCGGAGGAACTCAGCTCTCATCATGAGGCGTCATAACTCTTCTAAATGAAAACCTTCTGACTCCCAGGGAAGAGTTCAAATGGTTTTATTAATTTTTTCTGGTTATCGTTCTTTTCTACGGGATGGAGCTGCTAACCCCATGCCCAACCCTCCTCCTTTGTCCGGGCTTGGGTCCGGAGGTAGAGCACAGAGGGGCTCCAGTTGGAGTTATATTAGAACTAAGCCTGTTAATATATCAGGTTGACGTTAATGAAAAGTAAACAGTGTAAGTAAGACTGAAATTCGCGTGCTCAGAGCTGGACTTAAAAGTGTTGTGCCAGTTGTTCGAGCTCGTTTTACATGCTGTAAAAACCAGACTAATGACTGCAATAGGTTTTTATTAAGATCATGAAGCAGAGCGGTTGGACCTCGTAGTTCTGATTTAGACCATTGAGCGTTCACTCTAAAATTGTTGAGGTAAATAAATCTCCAAAATCAATAGCGCTGTAAGTCTTCGACGTTTGATGCTAACCGTATTAGTTTTACCGGACTGGCCTAGCTGAAGGCGCTCGGTCATGCAACCGCACCAGATCAGGAGTGGGTAGGCCGTGCTGAACATCCGTCTCAACTGCTAGATTGCTTTGACCAAACGTTCCTTCGACATAAGTTAGCCTTTTAAGTATATCTCCGAACTTCACATTGACTTCTGATTTGACTGGGTTGGCATACCTCGATTATAAAGGAGTTACCGGTTAAGACATGATCAGACCCTGAATACTTGTGGCATCTGTATCATCATTGTGTGATTAGTATGGATACACATCTCAGATTATTGTGATCATAATTGGAATTACTAACCATTTGTAATGGTGGATTACAAGACCAAAGAAACGGTTCTGAGTATTAATGGTTTGCGTACCGAATTCGACTATTTCTCATCATAACACTGGCGTTGCACTAGAGTAAGTTCTCCAAAATTTGAACACTGGTTGAAGCAATTAGTTCTTCAAAGACTACACGGAGGAATTTGAAAGCTGGTGTACGGTCTGGAAAGATATTAAAAATGATAAGGTCTCAGCCTATTTCCACATATTCGTTATAGAAAATGCGTGTAAGCTGTCCAAGAATCTGGCCTTCAGCTAGATGAGTCCAGTGAAAATAATGTGGTCAGCATCAAAAGTCGAAGACTTATAGCGCTAATGCTTTTAGGGTTAATTTACCGCTACAAGGATACATATGTGGTCTGTAACCATAGACAGATATATATCATAGTTCTCCTGTCGTAACAGCGGATAAACGAGGACAAGAAGCATATGTGTACAGAAGCGTATTTGTCAGCGATGAACACCATGTCATGCAAGAGGAGTTGAAAAATGAGACGGAAGAATGAAGGTCATGGTTTCTTTAAACAACAACCTTACATTCAACAATGGTTACTGTACAAATTAACATAACTAGTTTTAAAATAAGTCTATATTGAATATCCACGGAAACCTCACAAACCGAACCTCTGCAGAGTTTGTAAACTACTCTTAGTGCTACATACCAAATATAATTCTTTTTTGTTGCAATTTTCTGGGCAGATCAGCACGTATATTCTCCTTGTTTTCATGATCATTATTGTGTCAAAATAATTTTGTTTTAACAGGCAATTCCTTTGCGCCACTGGTATTGGACGTTCGGAGGCATTTAGTGGGTCGAATTTTAACAGATGGAGTCGAGGAAGGTGTCTTTAAGTGCTAATGCTTTGATTGGAGGCAAATGGAGACTTGTACGAAAGATCGGTGGTGGATCGTTCGGTGACATATATCTTGGACAAAATATGTTAACTGGAGATGAAGTTGCAATTAAATTAGAACCTGTGACAGCCCGACACCCTCAGCTGCTTTACGAGAGCCGAGTTTATCGAGTTTTACAAGTATGCCAAATAGATTCATCACTAGTATTCTCAGAACTCATCAGGAGTGCCGCGGGTTTATTGGTTTGGACCTGACGGTGTAAGCAATCGGTACAAAGCTATGGTTATGGATTTACTCGGTCCAAGTCTTGAAGACTTATTTACTTTTTGTGGACGTAGATTTTCAGCGAAAACAGTGTTAACTCTAGCGGAGCAGATGTTGTGGCGCATTGAATGTGTTCACTACAGAGGTCTTATTCATAGGGATATCAAACCTGACAACTTCTTAATGGGATCGGTCCACACTGTAACAGAGTGTTCATTGTAGATTTGGATTAGCTAAAAGATTCAGAGATCATAGAACAAAATGCCATATTCCATATAGGGATGACAAGAATTTGACAGGTACAGCACGTTATGCTAGCATAAATGCGCATGCTGGTATCGAGCAATCCAGACGTGATGATATTGAATCTCTTGGATATGTTTTTATGTATTTTCTCAGAGGACACCTTCCGTGGCAGGGACTGAAGGTACGATAAGATTTTACGTTTTGTTTTCCAAAATTTTTGGCTAATTAGTTATCATATCATTCTCTGGAATCAAGATTTCTATCCGCGTGTGGTAAACTTTCAAGGCTATGCTATGTATAAATTGGTTTATAGTCCACTTTTATTTCGTCTAACCAGTAGCCGCAACACTGAAAATGTTATTAGCCTAATTAAAAGCAATGAATTTCAGGTTTCATAAAATTCCCTGCTTGCTGATCAATTAGTGTCTACGTCGTTAAACTCCCACCGAATTCCTGCTCCGCGAATCAATGTTTGAAAAGTAGACCACACTGGAAAACCAGTGTTTTGCTTACCTTTAACCCGAGTTAGCTCCAATTCTATTCTTAGTGAGAGACCACATCTCAGATTTCTCAGTAAACTTAGATATTTCAATTTCGACTTGTTACACTGTAACCGAAAATCCTGTGGCTCATAACTGAGCAAGTGACAGCTATCGCCTCGTGTTTAGGTTAACCACTGACATAACAATAGAAATGATAGTGCAATATTTTTAATTATATAAATATGCTAAATAACTAGGATAGCATGGAATGATGTCCGAAAAGCTGTGGAAACAGCAGTGATATCTGCTAGTAAGGTAAACCAGAAGGTTAGGGAGCAACACTGGATCTCAGCAGCATCTATCGCACTGATAGATGCTCGGAAACTCATTCCACCTGGCTCTGAACATAATGAAGAGCGGAGTCAGCTTAAGCGCAAGCTGACAAGAAGTCTACGCAATGATCGTGAACAGTGGTGGGTAGCGAAAGCAAGAGAGATGGAAAAGGCAGCGGCAATAGGTAATAGCAGACAATTGTTCAGACTTGTTAAGGAAACCGGAATTAGGAACCCGACTGTTAGCGAAACAATCTCAGAGAAAGATGGACATATTATTCATTCTCAATCCAGGAGATTGGATCGATGGGCAGAACACTTTAGGGATCAGTTCAACTGGCCTTCAGCCACACTTCGGTTTCCCACGATCTCCAGTCAACCTGAATGGCAAGTTAATGTAGGTCCTCCGTCTCTTTACGAAGTTGAAAAAGCCATAGGAAATCTGAAACGAGGGAGAGCAGCAGGCCCTGACAGGTTTACTCCTGAGATTTTTAAGGATGGTGGTCCAGTATTAGCAGTGAGATTAACTGAGGTCTTAGGTAGAATTTGGGAACTGGACGTAATCCCATCTGACTGGTCTCAATCACTGATTGTGCCAGTCTATAAGAAAGGACAAAAGTCCTCTTGTGACAATCACAGAGGAATCAGTTTGACTAATATAGTGTCTAAAATATTAGCTTCAATAATACTTCGACGCCTAATCAAAGCTCGTGAAGAGCAGACTAGAGAAAACCAGGCTGGTTTTCGACCTGGACGTGGTTGTATAGATCAGATATTCACACTACGTCAGGTTCTAGAACACAGACACATTCAGACGCCCCACAATGGTAGTATTTCTCGACCTTAAGGCGGCATTCGACTCTGTTGATCGTGAGGTTCTATGGCAGTGTTTGTCACTGAAAGGAGTACCAAAGAAGTACATTAACCTTATAAAGGCTCTCTACTCGAACACAACTGGTCGAGTGAGAGCTTATGGCGAACTGTCATCAGAATTGATTACCTCAAGTGGTGTTCGTCAGGGCTGTCCACTCTCCCATTCTTGTTCAACTTTGTCATTGACGTACTTTTAGAGATAACACTCTCCTCATCTAAATTTACAGGGGTTGAACTTCTACCGGGAGGTTCACTTGTTGACTTAGAATATGCTGATGACATAGTTTTATTTGGTGAAGACGCTGACAAAATGCAGAGTCTTCTGACCACTCTAAGCAACAATGCAAGCATGTTCGGGATGCGATTCTCCCCTCGAAATGCAAAATGTTGCTTCAGGATTGGGTTACATCGACACCCGAACTAATGATAGGGAGTGAAGTAGTTGAGCGTGTCGACCGCTTCACTTATCTTGGAAGTCTCATCAGCCCTTGTGGTCTGGTGTGACGAAATCTCAGCACGGATACAGAAGGCTCGACTAGCTTTTGCCAACTTGCGTCATTTATGGCGTAGGCGAGATATCCGTCTATCAACCAAAGGACGTGTTTACTGCGCAGCAGTTCGTTCCGTCCTACTTTATGGCAGTGAAACATGGCCGGTAAGAGTAGAGGATATTCGTAGGTTACTAGTATTTGATCATAGGTGTCTTCGAAACATTGCTCGTATATCATGGGACCATCGAGTAAGTAATGCAGTTGTTAGGAAACGGGTACTAGGTAAGGATGGCAAATCAATTGATGAAGTAGTGAAACTTCATCAGTTGAGATGGCTGGGACACGTGTTACGTATGCCCAACGACCGACTGCCTCGACGTGAGATGTTCAGTGGTATAGGAGTAGGTTGGAAGAAAGCTAGGGGCGGCCAGACCAAAACATGGCACAAGTCCATGAAGTCACTGACAAGTGGACTGAGTCATGTTGGTAGGTGTAGACTACCTGGTTGGGGACCGCGAGATGATAGCAACCGATGGTTAGAGACCCTGAATGACATGGCTCAAAATCGTTTGCAATGGCGCAGGTGCATCCACTCTTTGTGTTCTCCCAAATTTTGATCTCCTTATTCCTCCTTGTCTCTTTTTTTCTCTTTCCAAATTTATTTCACTGTATTATACTCTTTAAATAACATCTCCAAACACTAATCTTCCCGATTACTGCTTATACTCTTATTACCTCTACCACTACGGGATTTGAATCGACAACTGCATCTCTGTGCTAATGTGGTGTGGCAACTCGAACTGATGTACGTACGTACGAAGTCCTACGTTGTTACTGACTGGCTGACTGAAAGAACTAGGATGTCTACTTTATTATTACATCTATGGCTTACAAGGTGAATATTTTACTTTAAGGGCTTAGTTACCCACCGTTCCTTTTTATTACTTACCAATCTCTTTAGCTTTAGATAAACCAGTGTATGTAGCGCTTGTTGTCATGTACTTTTAACTGAAGTTATAATGAAAGCTCTCATAGTATTCACTTAGTACTTTTTAATTCTCTAACTAGACGATGCTGCTGCTGTAGTTTGTGGATGGAAATAGCTATAGGTCGTGTTCAGCACTAATTGAGAGCTATGTGTGAGTTACTAGCATTTGACTGTCCCCAAACCATGACGCTTACCGTAGGATAACTAAATAAATAGCGCTAAGATCAGACGTAGGGTACCTGATTTATGTTGGTTTAGGTTGTAAATCTTCGACTGAGGTTCATGTGTCGTGTTACTACCGATTGTTTCAAGACTCAGGTACGCCTTGCTAGCAAGTCCCTAGTAGCTTATAACCTATGTTCAGAGTTTCCTACTGACTGCCTCCAGCCATTCAATATTCTAACTTTTTTTTTACCGTTTATCCTTTTATTTTTGTCTTACTGCGCACGTGTCGAATGACAACTTGAACCACGCTTTTTATCATTTACTTGGACCAATAAGCATATTATAGGCCCTAGATTGGCTGTATTTAACTGGTCATTTTTAGCATTGTATTCTCAACAAATCAGTCGAGTATGATGTCCGCTTAATAGACAAAGAAATACACCATATAGTTGACATAAAAAGTATTTCCGTAATTCACTTGTCAATTATTGAGACTGGACGACTCTAATTTCTCGGGTTGTTCCCTTTAAATAAATTTCGATGTAAACTCAACTCGGGAAAACCAGTGCTAATACGTTCTAGGAACGATCTTAGCTTTTTGTCACTATGGGTGGGATGTTAGTGAGTTCTCTAATCATGGCTATACATAACTGCGAAATGCCGGAAAATGCATCTCAATAGTACCTAGTGTAGCAACTTTACTTAAACTGCTTATAGAGTAAGATCTGTCGCAGCTAATGTTTTGCGCATACGCCGATAGCGCCAACGTATAAATATATGATAGGGTCTTCTTAGCAGTTGAAGTAACCTTCGACTGGTTTGTCAGTTAGGTGCAAAATTTCAAAGTAACCCATGCCAACATACGCGTCCTAATTATAAAAGACGTAGAAGCTGGGGCTATCTTGACAAAACAAGATAAACAGGCTGGATTCCGTGAGGATCGGTCGTGCACAGACCAAATTATGACGCTATGGATCGTCGTTGAACAATCAGCTGAGTGGAACTCATCATAATACATCAAATTCATTGACTATGAGGCGTTTGACAGTGTAGATAGGAGAACATTATGGAAACTTCATCGACACTGGAGTTCCTGAGATTGTCAGCATCCGGAATTCATATGACGGAGTACTTTGCAAAGTTGTGCATTGAGGACAGCTAACATAGGCATTCCAAGTAAGGACCGGAGTCAGACAAGGCTGTTTACTCTCTTCTGGTGGTCGACCGGATTATGAATACCTCAGTATGGAATACGTTGGGCAGCTCGGAATCATTCAGAGGATTTGGACTTCGTAGACGACGTAATCCTTCTATCCCATACACACGAACAATTGCAGATGAAAACAACTAGTGTCGCAGCAGCCTCTGCATCGACAGGCCTCAATATACACAAAGGATAAAGAAGATCCTGAAATACAACACGGAGAACACCGAATCAATCACACTTGATGGCGAAACTCTGAAAGATGTGGAATAATCCATATACCTGGGAAGCATAATTGATGAACAAGGAGGATCGGATACAGGCGTAAAGGTGATGATTGGCAAAGCAAGGGACGCATTCCTACAATTAAAGTATATAGAACTCAAACCAACTGTCAGCCACCATCGCAGTAAGAATCTTCCATACGAACATCAAGACGGTTCTATTGTACGGAACTGAAACGTGGAGAACTACTACAACAATAATAAAAAAGAACAAGCACCTATAAATAGTTATCTACGCAAGATTAATTAATTGTTTGTTTTAACACAGAGATATTGGTACAATGAGGCACCAAATATATATGCGCCACACAAATCTCATTTGGTATGTGTGAGGGCTTTGATACTGCCCGGGTGCCCAAACC